GGTTAATAAGTTAGAATTGTATCCATACGTACACAAGAAACATTTTTCTCTTTCAATAAACACGTAAGGTGCTGTTGGTTGGATATAAAGGAAAGAAATAGAATAAAATGTATAAATATAATATTTGGTTATATTTATAAAAAAGAAATGATAATTCAAAGAAATTATCATTCACTTATTTTGGGTGAATCATCATTTCTTTTTCATATGAGAGGAATAACCATTTTAAGCTCTTTTTTTTTTTTGTTCAAAATTACCCTTAAATATTATAATATAATTACAACATATTATATAGTAGTTATATCTTATAATATGTAATATAATTAATATTGAATAAAAATATTATGATATAATATAATATAATTTATAATATAGTTATAAATTATAATTTCAATTTAAAATTCATACTTGTAATAAAAAATAAAATAAAATAATAATACAATAATATAATATAATATAATGTAATAGTAATACTGTAACAAATAATATCATAATTATATTAATAACTTTAATATTATTATTTTATCATATAATATGATATAATAATAATAATAATATGATATTATAATTGTAATTTTTAATTATATTATAACTGAAATATTATTATTTTTATATAATATTATAATTATGTTAATTATTTTAATAATATTATTATATTCTATATCATAATTATATAACATATTATATAATATTAATTATATAATATTATATTACATTTTATATATTATATTAATTATATTAATATATTAAATATTAAAATTTAACATAAAGCTAATTTTATCAACGTAAAAATATTTATATTTTATTTCATAATATTTTTAAAATTACAATTAAATAAATAAATTATTTTTTTTACTCTATTATTATTACTATTTTCATTCTTATTACTATTACCATTCTTATTTTTATTACTGCAACCAAACGCACCTGCAGTATAAAAGGACTCAAAGTAATTTTAGGGAATCAAATAAAGATTCCACTTCCATTGTTTCCTTTATAGACAGTTTAGTGGCTGCTATTGAACAACACATGTGGGGCTCACCCACTTTAGTGACTTCTAGTTCTACCCTCTTCTTCTTTGCTCCTAACTTCACTGTCTCATGTGTCCCTGCCTTTCCTTACCCACCACTATGAAACTTGAATGTTTGTAAAAGAAAACTTGTATAGTGGAAAAAGGCAAAAAAAAAAAAAAAAAAAAAGAAAAAAGAAAAAAAGAAGAAGACCAATATTCAAAGACTTTGGTTAAAATGGACTAGTGACTATGGTTGATAACAAAGCTCAATATAAATTGTCAACTTTGAATAGTTTGTCATACTTATCTAGATAAAAGAATAATAAAATCTTACAAGTTAGAATTGACTAGGTGGACTCTCTTTTAGAATTGGATTCACAATCTTGAATATTTGGATACATGAAGCACTTTAATAAATTTAGTAAGGTTTTTTCACTATTGATTTGAAATCAACAATGAGTTACCAAATTTTCAAATATTTATTTTATTTAAATTGAAATGGACTATGAAATTATAATTATTTTCAAATTAATCAACATAATTCCAATATTTTGACTTTTACTTTAATGGTTGCTTAATAGAGACAATAAAAGGCGCTTCAAAAAAATAAAATAAAGACAATAAAAGGAACAAAAAAAAAAAGAAGGAAAAAGTGTATGAGTTTCAAAATTTAGGCTACTTACACTAAATACAACCGGCTCCATTGACTTTGTTGAAGAAAATTCGTGAAAAGTGATATGGAAATCATTTAGAAACTAAAAGGATGTTTATTTTAAGAGTTCACTTCCGGTTCTGGTTTTGAATTATGATTTTTAGTTTTCTATAGTATTTTTCTCTTATAAAAATTTTAAATTTTAAAATTAAAATCATAAATTATAATTATGAACTAAACGTCGCATAACTTATTAGGGGAGATCATACACCTTTTGTGTTTAGTTATCACACATTATAGAATTTTATGATTTATGACATCTCATTGTACTATAAATTGTGTACAAAGTTAAAAAAAAAAAAAAAAGATGGCAACAAGATGGGAAAGCATCCCCACTAAGAAGAGGCTGGGGATGCAATTGGGGAATCACATGTTGGGGTCTTTCCCGTACTTGCACTAATCGCCAAACATTTTACCGTCCACAAAAAATTAATGTTTACAACGAAAAAGAAGTCGAAATTAATACTAAATTCAGTCAACATTTAGTGTCCGTTTGATATCTAAATTCGTTCTCTAATTCGAATCATGATTCGTAATTTGTTACAGTATTTTTTCTCACAAAAAATACACGTAAATAAAAAATATTTATAATCACATGATTTAAATTCATGAACCAAACGCTAGTTTAATATTTTTCAGAAATTAAATCAAATTCTAACTCAATATATACGTATATATAGATCAATTTTAAGATTAGTTAATACCAAATATATCTTGTTCATAAAATATAATATGCATAAATATTTTTTAAGATATGTGTATCCCCTCTTTGACCCCATCCGTATCCCACACCCTATTAGGAAAAAAAAAAAAGTCATCCTAGAGAAGTAAATTTCTCTATTATTCCAATGAGTTTTTTCAAAATAAAAAGGTGGAAAGTTCGAAATTCGATCCCAAGTTTCACAAAAAAGAAAAAATGCAATGAAAAATTCTAAAAGGATGATTAATATGATTATTTATACATTTTCTGTGTGGACGTTTGGTTCACAGATTCAGAATTATAATTTAAAATTATTCTTGATTTACATGTATTTTTTATGAAAAAAAATACTGTAGCGAGTCACGAACCATGACACGAATCCTTACACCAAACACTGGCATGTTCTCTTGGAGTTTGATTTGAGTGTAGTTCTTGAGTTGAATTTGAGTTATAATTTGAGTTGAAGTTGCAACTTGAGTTTGTGTTTGAGTGAGTTCGAACTTAAAAGAACATGAACTTGAGTGAAGTTAGAACTCGAATTGACTTTTTTTGAGTTTTTGAGGCAAAAGAACATGCCCTTAAAAATATTAACATAAACTTAAAAAGAAGAGGAAAATTGAAATATTAACATAAACTTAAAAAGTTTGGTCGTTTATCAAAAGGGTGGTAAAACACTGTCATTTACTTAATTTTTCTTAAAAATATTAAAATTTTTTTTTGTAAACAAGTATTTATGTTATTTTTTCTACCATATAACCAACTTTTCTAGAAATAAAATTAGTATTGACACGTAAGAAAAAAAAACTTATAGTTAAATGAACATATTTAAATCATGAAACTCATATTAAATTTTAATCTTAAAAAAAAATTTAATAAAATTTAATGAAATTTTGAACCATAAAATTTTAATTTCTTTAGGACATGCATAAGTTATAACTCTTGAAAAAAAAAGATTGATTTCTATAAGCAGTGGGGGTGACAAGAGCTGTTCAATGGTGGAGTAGTGGCCCACCACGGCGCACGAAAGCAAAAGCCTCAGACCAAGTAAAGCTATCGTGCGCCGACTCGAAAAGAAGATGCGTTAAGTGCGCACACCCCGCCTTTTTTCCATCCTCCCTTGCCCCTGCTCGTAAATAGCGCGACAGAGACAAACCCATTTCCCAATAAAAAGACCACACTGCAACTAACGGTCGTCACTCTTATCCCAATAAATTTCCGACACGTCACTCATTCCGTTAATACTTCTTGACGGCGTTTGTACCCTTCTCCCCGTCTCGGAGCCGCCTTTTATTAATATTATTCGATGAAGAATCAAACAACACAGGCCTCTCTCTCTCTCTTTCAGATCGTGTCGCTTTTCTGGGGCTTCGTGAGCCACCGGCTCTACCCGGTTCCCTCCTTGATAAGGCGGAAACATATAAATAATTAATTGTTTCATGTACTTTTATTAATTAAAACAGTTTTGTAACCTGTACCCTGCACGTTTTGAATAATAAAAATTTTATTTATATAATAATTTAAAGAATTTTAAATTTATTTTAAAAATAAATACGTGTAAAAATAATAAGTGATAAAAAATTAAGTAGAGATATATTTAAAAAAATTATTTTAACTAATGAAAAAAATAAAAACACATGCAAAGAAAATTATTCTCATACAAATAAAGTGTGGAATACTTATTTTTAAAAAACAAACAAAAAATAAAAATGTAAAAAGATTTAAAAAAATAAAGATAAAAAATAAAAACACATGCAAAGAAAATTATTCTCATACAAATAAAGTGTGGAATAATTATTTTTAAAAAACAAACAAAAAATAAAAATGTAAAAAGATTTAAAAAAATAAAGATTAAAATATCAATAAAAAGGTAAGTATAAGAGCTGTCACATGACAGTTTTATAAAAAAGGATTTTAATTTTTTTATGTATTGTTAAATTAAATATCTCAAAAAATACAATAAATTTTACAATTCTACGAGATTAATTTTTCTCTTTTATAAAGATAGTAATGATATGACATTTCTCGTTTTGATCTTCCAAAATGAGAAGTCACTTCTTTTATATTTTTAAATTATACTGTTTCATTTCTAAAAGTTCTCATTAACTTGGAGTCTTATCATAATTTATTTATTAAAAAATATCAAAGTTAATATTTTTAATGCATATTGTAACTTAAAAAAATTATTATTTATTGTGCAAAGCGTGATAATATATTTTTTTTCTACAGTTAGTTTTAATTACAATAGACTTGAAGACTAAAATATGTGCCATTAGAATGACATAATTTCAGAAAATTCAATTCAAGCACTTCTTTTACAAGATTAATTTTGATTAAAACAAATATTAAGAGAAAACTTAAATTTATCAAATTTAATGCAATAATAAATGAAAATTTTGCTTACTCCAATAAATTTACATAATAAAATATCATATGCATATACATGTGGACATTCCATTCACTGCCATTCCCGGTCCTAAAAAAGGGGGGCCGAGTCCACCGGTGAGTGCCGGTTGGTGAATGGGTTAGAAATTGACCGCGGTTGAAATCATTGCAACGCTGTTTTGACCACTCCGGTTAAGTCTCGCTTCAGACACACACAGAGAGACACGCACACAATCAGGAGAGAGAAACTAGAGTGAGAAACTAGAGAGAGAAAGACACGCGCAGAGCTTGCGTTGGTTGCTCTTCTTTTTCTTCTTCTTCCTTCTGGTTGGTTGGTTCATGCACTGGCTTAGTTGAAGAACCAGAGAAATTGTTTGAATCGGCGAAATTTTTGTGGTTTTTGAGGTTGTTAGGGTTTCAGTTGAGTTTAGAGAGAGAAAGAGGAGAGCGAGTGGGTTTCTGTGGTGGATTTTGGTGGTTTTGAGCTCGGAATTGGCTGAGGAGGGGCTTCCCATGAGAGATCTGTGCTGAAATGGTGATGGTGTCGACGTCGGAGATTTCGGTGAAGGGAAATTCAGGAAACCCCAGGGGAGGAGAGAGAGAGAGCTTCTCTTCCTCCGGTTTCGCCGATCAGAACGACGGTAGAAAGTCCGCGAAAGGTCTGTCGTCGACTCTTTTCCTCCGGCGCCAAACCCCAGGGGAGGAGAGAGAGAGAGCTTCTCTTCCTCCGGTTTCGCCGACCAGAACGACGGTAGAAAGTCCGCGAAAGGTCTGTCGTCGACTCTTTTCCTCCGGCGCCGGAAAGACAATTCCGGCAGGGTTTTGGTCTATTTTCCGGCGAGATTTTCGGGTTACGGAGCAATTTCGACTTTTTCTGAGCTCTGATTTCGTGTCTGTGTGTTTTGTGCTCGTAGATGCTGATGATGTTGCGCTCTACAAGGAGCTTTGGCACGCCTGCGCTGGGCCTCTGGTGACCGTACCCCGTGAAAACGAGCGCGTCTTCTACTTCCCTCAGGGACACATCGAGCAGGTGAAATGAAAATCTCTTCGCCACAGTCAGTTCTAAATTCTAATTCCTTTTTCCTTGCTCTTTTTCTTTTTCATTTTTCTTTTCCAGTCGATCAATTGTGTTTTCTTTGTCGTCTATTTTGTTTTTTTTTTTTGTTTTTTTTTTTTTTTTTTTTTTTTTTTTTGAGTGGAAGACTAACCATTATTTGTTAGAAGGAATTATTTAATTTTTGAGAGAAATTAATTTTTTTTTGGAAGGATTCTGCATTTTTTATAGGGTTTTCGCTTGTTATTCTTTTTCTTTGGGGTTAACGGCTAATTTATTTTATATTAGGAATTATTTAATTGTTTAGGGAAGTTAACTTAGTTTAGAAGGTTTCTGCAATTTTTTCGGTTTATTAAATATTTTTGGGGGGTTTCTGATTTAGGTGGAGGCATCGACTAATCAGGTGGCAGAACAACAGATGCCAGTATATGATCTCCCGTCTAAGATCCTTTGCCGGGTGATGAATGTAGAGTTGAAGGTAATGATTATGCTATTTTACATGAGGATTCGTAGTTTTCAATTTCTATGATTATTTTCTTTTGTGGGTTTTTTTCGCTGATCTATTTTCTTTTCTGGTTGAGTGGTAATGATCGTGTCATTATATACGAGTATTGATATTTTTTTGTTTCTGGGTTATTTTCTTGTAGAGTCGAAATATATTTGCTTTATTTGCGAAATTAATGATTCTTTTGGGTATTTTTTTTAGGCTGAGCCAGATACAGACGAGGTATTTGCACAAATCATTTTGCTACCTGAGCAACAGGTAAGTTCACTGTTTGATGGTTGTGCCATTACTAGGATGAAGAACCATTTATTTGTGGGGTTGAAACTTAAACAGTTTGCTATTTTTTTTCTTTTTTTCTTTTGGGATGCCAGCAAGATGAGAATGCTGTGGAGAAGGGATCTCCTCCGCCCTCGCCTCCACGAATTCAAGTGCACTCATTTTGTAAGACACTTACTGCTTCAGATACGAGCACTCATGGTGGATTTTCGGTGCTTAGGCGACACGCAGACGAGTGTCTTCCCCCACTGGTTGGTTCCTTTGAGCTTGCGGTTTTAGATATTCGTTTTCCAGTTTTACTTTTGTTCACAGCTAAATTTTGGAATCTGTTTCTTCTCTTTTTCTTGGCAGGACATGTCTCGGCAGCCTCCAACTCAGGAGCTTGTGGCCAAGGATTTACACGGAAATGAATGGCGCTTTCGGCACATATTCCGAGGTAATACATTGGTTTTTGATATTAGCTTTCCGTTACTTATTGTGATGCATATAGATATTAACATCTCTTTTCCTTTTTATACTAGTGAGATCCAGGGTGGAGATTTGATGAATTTTTGTAATTAGGGGGTAGTGAATGTATTGGTCACATTTGTCCAACTCACTCCTTTTCCCTTTTCCTTTATCATTGACTATTAGTGAATCTAATACGCAGCTTTATCTTGTTTGTTTAACATGTATGCAATTGCCAGGTCAACCTCGGAGGCACTTGCTACAAAGTGGTTGGAGTGTTTTTGTTAGTTCCAAGAGGCTCGTTGCAGGGGATGCCTTCATATTTCTCAGGTTAGTTGATTTCTTATTCCTGAAAAGTAAAGATGTGTTCTGGTGGCTGTGGCTTGTTTTATTTGTCTGAGATCGTGGTTATCATGTGACTCTTTAGGGGCGAGAATGGGGAGCTTCGAGTTGGTGTTAGACGAGCAATGAGAAAGCAAGATAATGTTCCCTCGTCTGTCATATCTAGTCATAGCATGCATCTTGGCGTTCTTGCAACTGCCTGGCATGCTATCTCAACAGGAACCATGTTCACAGTGTACTACAAGCCAAGGTGTGTTCTTGCCCTCTTCATCCATGCTTTACATTTCAGATAATGAGACAAAAGTTTTATGGTCTAAAACTTGATGAAAATACCATACTACCACTGATTCTTCTACCAATTAAAAAGTGCCGTGTAAAACTCTGTGAGCCCATATGTAATCTGCACGTCTAGAGCTGACTCTTTGTTATTGGTTAAAAACAAGATATGGTCTTTACCACTCGTGGCAATGCTCTAATTTAATGGTGTTGCAGACTTATTGACATGTCTATTGGACTGATTATTATGTATGATTTTCAATCTTTGATTCTTGAAATCATTTCACGCATTGGTTGTCCTGAGTTGGTAAGCTCATTATTCGGAGTAACATTATGACATTTGTTGCTCTCACATTTGAAAGTTTTTGCCCATAGCTGATTGTTGAAGGGCCAAGGGGAATAAGTGCTTAAACCTTGGTATTATAAAAAAAAGTGATTTTGAATTGTTTGTTAACAACATTAACTCTTTTATATGTGTCTTAACAGGACAAGCCCTGCTGAGTTTATTGTTCCATTTGATCAGTACATGGAGTCTGTCAAGAATAACTATTCTATTGGAATGAGGTTCAAAATGAAATTTGAAGGGGAAGAAGCGCCAGAGCAAAGGTATGTCTCAAACAAATAAGTTGTACGCAATCTCTTCATTCTATGAAAACTATCCAAATGCATTAGCCTTCGTTTGACATGTCATCACGCGTGCATTGTATTTTTTAAAATTGATGTAATATCATAAACATCTGTATTGTATTATAATCATGGCACAACGTGGTACTATTTATTATGATGCTCCAGACAATGCTTTTATTTTGTTTTGTTCGTTAGCTGGAATGGTTTTCTAGTTGTCTTCCACTGAACACCTTTGGTTTATAGGGGATCATTGACTTACTGCCAGCGTTGCATTGTATAGTTGATAAAAGGATTAAATGTAGTTTTGAAACCATTTTTTTTTCCATGTTGTAGGTTTACTGGCACCATAATTGGTGTTGAAGATGCCGACCCCAAAAGATGGACAGATTCTAAATGGAGATGCCTGAAGGTATCACACTATCACTGAAGTTCAATATTAAAATGAGATCACATTATATATGTATGTGTGTGTGCGATTGTTATTGTTTGTTTGTTTTATTTGGCATGCTAAAGCTGTCATGCTTTTTTTCTGTCAGGTGAGATGGGACGAAACTTCTACAATACCGCGTCCAGACAGAGTTTCACCTTGGAAAATAGAACCTGCGCTTGCTCCTCCTGCACTAAATCCTCTTCCTGTGCCAAGATCAAAGAGGCCTCGGTCAAACATTGTGCCCTTGTCTCCGGACTCATCTGTTCTAACTAGAGAAGGTACATCTGGAATGACATTATAATATGAAATTTATGAGTAGACCCCTTCATTCCTTCATCCAATGATTTTTCACTTCGTATATGTTCGCTGAGTTGCATAACTCTTGTAATTTGATTAGGTTCATTAAAAGTAACTGTAGACCCTTCACTGCCAAGTGCATTTTCAAGGGTCTTGCAAGGTCAAGAATACTCGACCTTGAGAGGAAATTTTGCAGAAAGCAATGAATTGGATGCTGCTGAAAAGTCCGTTATGTGGCCACCTTCTCTTGATGATGAGAAGATTGATGTGGTCTCTGCTTCTTCAAGAAGATATAGGTCTGAGAATTGGGTTGCGTCTGGGAGGCATGAACCGACTTACACAGATTTACTATCGGGTTTTGGGGCCACTGTTGATTCCTCCCGTGGCATTGGTTCACCCTGCACTGATCAATCTGTTGTACCTGTTAATTCAATGAGAAAACAAGACCAGGATGGCAGGTTCAACTTGCATAGTAGCCCCCGGTCAATGTTGCCGTTGCCTTCACCTCTATCGCTTGGCTTGGACACTAATTTGAAGGGTTCTGTTCAAAGTGGTACTATATCATACCAAGCACAGGGAAGATATGTTGGATTTGATGACTATCCTATTCTGCATGGTCATAGGGTTGAGCACCCACACGGAAACTGGTTTATGCCGCCACCATCCTCTCCTCATTTGGAGAATCTTGCCCATTCAAAAGAGTTGATCTCAAAACCTGTATTGGGACAAAAAAATGAGGCTGTTAAACCTAAAGAAGGAAACTGCAAGCTCTTTGGTTATTCTCTTATCAGAGCAGAGCCAGCAGTATCGCATACAAGCGTAGTGGACAAGTCGACTGGGCAGAGGAACCTCGTGTCAAGCCAAGCTCAGAAATTTGAGTTTGCTCAGAAGTCAGAACAGGCAGGGGGTTCAAAATCAGCTGATAACCCAGTACCCATGAATGACCAGGAGAAACCACTACAAACTAGTCAGCAACATTTCAGGGAGGGTCAAGGAAAAGCGCAGAGTGGTTCAACTAGGAGTTGTACTAAGGTATATTTTTTGCAATGTTGTATTGTCACGGACTCCAGTGATCCATTGTAACAAGGGAAAGAACTTGCTTAATGAGTTGCTGTTGATTTTAGGTTCACAAGCAGGGGATTGCACTAGGTAGATCTGTAGATCTTACAAAGTTCAACAAGTATGATGAACTGGTAGCTGAGTTGGACCGGCTATTTGAATTCGGTGGTGAACTAATGGCCCCCAAGAAGAATTGGTTAATTGTGTACACTGATGATGAGGGCGATATGATGCTTGTCGGAGATGATCCATGGCAGTAAGTGCTTATGTTTATTTGATCTGAAAATCCTATATTTATGACTTTTGACGCTTTGAGTGCTGATATCTGTTTTTTTTTTTTCCCAACGTCAATTTATTCGGTCCTTTGGTGTGACGTGTTGTTAAATTGTCATCTGTTTAGGGAATTTTGTTGCATGGTTCGAAAGATTTTCATTTACACCCGAGAAGAGGTCCAGAAGATGAGCCCAGGGACCCTAAATTCACACGGGGAAGGAAATCAAGTGAGTGTTGAGGTTATGGATGCCAAAGAGAAGCCTCAGACGCTTCCTTTGTCATCTATTCCTGCGAACTGTTAGCTCCAGCTCTCAAGATATTAGGTATAAGCGAGGTATATTCTCAAGCTTTTTGTCATCTTCTACGTTTGTGTTTGCAATTCTTCGCCCCCCAAAATCATGGCCCCTGGAGTTTAAACGTGCTTTAATTTGTCTCCACTTCCTTTCATATTATTATTTGTTCACGTGGAGATTAAATGTTTCTTCAGAATATTTATGGGGCTCGATTCATTGTTTTTTTTTTTTTTTTTTTCAGGGTTTATGGTGCCAAAATAATAGGAACTGCTATTGAGCTATATATCTAGTTTGGATTGTGAACTAACCAAGTTGGATGTGAGCCTCTTTCGGTATACAAGTTAAGCTCTTTAGAAAGTCAGAAATGGATGGCAGACGTGGTATGACACATATAAATCCAGTTTTTGACATGTACTGGAGTTAGTATTTTGCAATGTCCTGTTATATACATAAATATGTATACGATTGAGTAAGGCGACGTGGCCGTGCTATTCTCGTAACGATTCTCTACCATGTACATAGTTTTCCCTCCTCTTTTCCTTTTCCCAACCGTTTAATGTAAGTAAAGCAAGGCTTATACACTCGAAGTGTTTTCAATTTGGGAGGGCTAGGAATGAGATGTTCGTTTTACTCTTTGCAAAGTCATAAGCTGTTGTGGGGTTTGCAGTTGTATTATTATTTTGCAGGTTTTACAAGTAGAGTAGTAAAACATAAAAAAGAGGGCACACGGTAATACTAGATGTTAGTTACATATTTGAAATATAACTTTTTATTCTTTTGTGCAGAGTGGACTCTTGAAATTTTCCCTGGTTTATTTTGCTAATCGTAATTTTATCCTGGTTGAATCTCATGTATCTTGTAATTGCCCAAAATCTTGTTGGAACTTTCTCTTGTGGAAATTAAGGGATTCATGTGGAAAAAACATTGGAGTAGAATGGATTAAGTCTATAATTAGATAGAATAAGTAGGTGTGAAGTTATCTCTAGATTAAGTCTATAATTAGATTTTTCTACTTGGTAATTGTCACAAAATTTGTCCTGCTCATCAGTTTTCAAAGCCGTAAGAGAAATATATAGAATGGATTTTTGAATTTTGATCCGTGTCTGATTTCATCCGCATATATTTATTTTGAAATAATTCTTACAGCTGATAGTAAAGATTGCTTCTACGTGTCAAAAAAGAAAATGCAAAACAGATACCAGTTTTAATTTGTACAAGTATTCAGTGACAAAGTGACAAAAACTTCTGGTCCAATCCAATTATGCCAGTTTTTGAATTTAGGAGATTTTTTTCCTTTTAATAGCCTTCACAATTGCCATCTTTTGACAAATTGCAATGGTTTCCGGGACAAAAATGCCTCACTAAAACTTACCATGTTTTTGTACGTTACGTGCACGTAAGAAAGAAGAGAAGGGCAACCGTTGCTAAGGTCTCGAAGCTTCTCAAAGCAAAAACAGATGCAAAGAATCAGCCACATTCTTTAAATCATTGAAAACAACAATGTTTTGAAACCACCTCCTAATTCTTTTTGTGAAAAATTGAAAGAATTATTAGACTTCAAAAAACAATTTGATATTACATCATAAATTTGTTTGTGGGATATGTGCAAAACTTTTCTTTTTATTTTTAAAGCCTTTTTTTATAATTATTTTAAATAAATGACCCAAGTTTTGCTAAATTTCTAAAAGCGAAAGCGATCGGAAACTGCTTTGCTAATTTTGCTTGTATGCTTTCTCAAGATATTTTTAGGTTGATTCTTTTATTAGCTCTTTTGTACTTGATGATATTGTAATTGAGTAATAAAGTTTGCTTTTCTTTCCAAAAAAAAAAAAAAAAAAAAACCCTTCAACGACCCTGACAATTGTAGACTTTCTAGTGACAAAGACCTTTTAATGCTATTCAAAGTTCAAACTCTCAAGAAATATTACCGTCAATACTGGTGATGCAATCGCTACAAATATGACTGTTATAATATGAGAAGATATCAAAACTTACAGTAATAATTGTTACGTATAGTTATTTAAAATCATAATTTAAAATTATTTTTAATTTATGTATATTTTTTATAAAAAAAAATATTTTAATAAATCACGAATCATGATTTAAATTATAATTCGAATCCTCATACTAAACACTAAATTAATATTTTAAAGAAACAAATATAATAAATCCCGGCGAACTTTTAGCACTATAACAACGTCCCTCTAAATTTTGATTAGTATTTAGTATCAACTATTTCCTTCCAATTTCAAAACTGTATCACATTTCTTCATTCTAGTAACTTTTGAGACACATGTAGGTTACGTACCTTAAAAGCTATTTAAGTAAGTTCATACCCTATAAATTTATTTCAGAAATTTAAATTTAAAGGTTAATTTGAGTTTAAAGTAAATATTAAAAAACCCTGTTAAAATATAAAATTATTGTTCGCCCACCTCTTAACAGTTTAGGTTTTTGGGATGAATTGATAAACTAATATGATATTAAAGCGGGAGGTCCTGGGTTCAAACCCCGGTAATTACACTCTTTATTTGTATTTAAAATTATCATAATGTGTTAGGTCTTTAATATATCTCGGGTTTAAATATTCACAATTAAATTTAACAACTAAATTTTGTAAATAAAAAAAATTATTAACACTGTTGACCTTTTAATTTGATAGTTTCTAACTTTTAATCTTGACAGATTACTCTATTTTTTTTTGTTTTTTTGTTTTTTTACAGATTTGGCTACTGATACTAAAATTAAAAAATAATTTTTGAAATTTGACAATGGAAATCATAATTTCATCTCGTAATAGCTTTAAATTTTACACAACTAGTTTCATTACGTGCAAAATTTTCTCTTTACTAATATTAAAATTCATCGAGAATTAAACGTTTTGCATTTAATGTAACTATTTATATAAAAAATTCATTTTTTGTGCAATGTAGATAGGAGTTCTCCGTCAAATTTCAAAAATCTTTTGTCATAATAATTATGGTATGAGGAACTAAAACTAACTAAAATTCAAAATCTAAGAGATTAAAGTCTGGTTCATTTTATTGATTTTAGTTTTTAATTTTAATTTTATTACAGTTAAAAACTCTTATAAAAAATCGCATTTAATTTTTTATGCTACAGTAAAAAACTCATATAAAATCACATTTCAGCTCAAATTAAAAACTCAAATCAATAAATTCCGATTCGAGTTTAAAATTTGAGTTTTATTTTAGTAAAAAGCTCTAAAAAAATCACATTTAATTTTTTTACTATAATAAAAAATTCTCACATAAAATTATAACTTAACTCAAATTAAAAATTCAAATCAACAAAATTAAACGAGTTTATTAAAATTAAAAGTTACGGTACCAGAGTATCACCGAGCTCAAAGTTGCGGGACCTACATTGCTAATAACAAGGAAAAAAAAAGAGAGAACATACTTCTCTCTCTCTCTCTCTCTCTCCCTGTAAATCGTAGAGAAGAAGAGATCAGTGTAGAAGCTCTCAGGAACTGTTGATTTCTTCTTGGCTAATCGGCCTCTTCAAGGTAAATGCTAATTTTCTCTCTCCATTTCTATTTCATCTTTGTCTATTGCTTTTCGATTTTTCTGTTTTTCTCGAATTTTCCCACCAAACAAACACAAACCCAATACACTCTGTTATTGCTTCTAAAACAATGCAAATTTTGTTTAACTAGAGACAATAATAAACATTTTCTGAAAATAAGGTCGTTGATCTCACAGAGGGTTTTGGTAATGGCGACGACGGCTTGTTTTATCATCGTCAGCAGGAATGACATTCCCATTTATGAAGCTGAAGTTGGATCTGCTCCTAAAGTATTCTCTTCCTCTCTCTCTCTCTCTCTCTTTAAATTGTTTTACATTTTTTTTCCTCCTTTGATTGAAGTTTCGTGTGTTAAAAACCCCATATAAAGTATAGAAAAAGAGTTTTTTTTTTTAATAAATAATTTCTTCTGCAGTTTTCAGTTTCCCTTTTGTGAATTTCTATTGTTGGTTGTTTGATCTCAAAGATGTTGTGGCTATTTCGTATTATGTTCTTTTTCCCCTTTTTTTATTTAAAATAAACTTAAGATGTGCAGTTGTTTATTTATTTATTTATTTTTGTTTGCCTTATTAACTGAAAGTAGCTGCATCACCTCATTGCAACAAGAAAACTTATATGCGGAAAAGTAAAGAAAAAAGTATAGAAAGGATTATGTCCTATTAAATGAATCTGATTGTTTGAGTGGTTTAAGTAAAAATGGTCGGCTTAGGCTGATTTGGAATTCTGTAGTCTTAGCACTTTTCTGTTCAGTTCAGTACTTCAGCTCGAAAGAAATAAGGGAATTTTCAAGGGGGTTCAGTTGGATTTTGATGAGAGATGGGAGAATATAAAATGAAGTTTTGGTTAAGCATCGTGGATTCAATCTGGAAACGAATTTACGAGTGTGATGTTTTCACTTTCCAGAGCTATTGAGCGATTGGATTTCTTTCTTCGTTGATTGTTTTCTGATGGACTCCCTGTCCTCCTTTTCTTGTACACATTTTCATCTTTTTAGTAAAAGTTTGTTTCGTATAAAAATAAAAAAGATCATATCCTAATGGAGAAGTAGTCCTTGCCAATTTCATGATTCACATTTAAGGAATTATCTTGGCAATGATTATAGTAAAGGGCTTTTTCTTTCCTTTGAAATGTTCTTTCGATAAATTGACATTTTTCAGCCAAAGTTTCGCCCCAACAATTTAGATAAAATTGAATTTACTTTGTTGACTAATTTTATTAGATATTGGTAGTTAAATTGATTCTTTGCTTGCATGACCTCGTGGCAGAGAGAAGATGCTGCTCAGCTGCATCAGTTTGTATTACATGCTGCTCTCGATATTGTTCAGGATCTTGCATGGACTACAAGTGCCATGTATGTTTCTCACCCTTTAGGTTGTTTTCTGTGGCTAGCTGCATGTTGTGGCACTAACCACTAAATCTACTATCTTCCTTCTAACAATTTTTTTGCTTTTCATTCCTTGCAGGTTCTTGAAGGCAATAGACCGGTTCAACGATCTGGTTGTTTCAGTATACGTTACGGCTGGTCATATCCTTAAAATCTATGGATTATTTTCTAAAAGTGCAACTGTTAGTTATATATTGTTTCCATGCTATAGTTAGGACCTCTGCATATTTTTTAGCAGTGTCCTATCCTATTGCTTGCCTCAAACTGGAAGCAGCTAACAGATGAGATGGTAAGGGGATAATTGGTTTGCTACCCAGTTCAGGGGTTTTGCCATTGTCGTACATTAGTCAGTTGAAACATCTATCTTTGAACTTCAGTTTTGCGTTTCCTTTAACTAGAATCTTACATACAAGATTTATGCTACTTCACGATTCCCGGAATGATGATGGCATTAAAAGCTTTTTCCAAGAGGTTCATGAACTCTATATAAAGGTACTAGTTTGTTTCTTTCCATCTGATAATGTGGTCAGCTTAGTCCTTGCATAATTCTTTCGTTTTAGTAGTTTGACTCCATTTAACATTTTCTGCTCTTTTCTCCTTTTAAATACATTGGCTGATTTGGTTCCTCTTGAACTCGTTTGTTCTCCTTTCTAGCAGATAGGTTCAAAATTTCTGATATGTTCCTTTTCATAATCAAGTTTCAACTTGTTGCTTATGTATTCCTTCGTCTTTTCTAGCAAATAGCTTTTACTCGGACATGTTATTTTTCATTTAGCCCCGAGTTTTATTGATTTGAACTTTTTTATTTGAACAAAAAAATTAGAATTGTGTGGTTTAAATTGTAGTTTGAATTGGCGTTTGTATGTTTAATTAAAATTTTAATCTGAACAGGAAATAAAATTCAAATTTGTGTTTAGTAGGTGTGAAAAACAGAGAGAGTGGACACATTTTTACTGTTCAAAAATGGTTTGAACGGTTGAACTTAAGGGAGAAACTAAACTCTAAGTTGGACAGTTTAAACGGGGATATAATACGAACTGTCCGCTTACCAAACACGAATTTAAACTATGCTCAGTGTTTAAACTGAGTTGAACTGAACTAAACCAGTGAAACAAACGGGGGCTTAATTTTTTCAGAAATCTGAAAATTCTTTCATGTGGGATGTGGCCTTGGGGTGGTACGAGATGAATAAATAGTTGGGCATTAGTATATTTTTGATTTGTAATCTTTTGATTAACTCATGTAGACATAGGTGGTAGATTATTTTTAATCTCTACTTGTTGCCTCGTAGAAACACAGCCCTGGGAGGAGGTTATGTTCTTTTTGTCTTGGTAATCAAGAAACTTATGCTTGGACGTAATGATCATTTACTGTATTTTGGGTATCTTGGTAAACTGGCAATGCATGATTTAGTATTTGAGTGCTTGATTTTGTCAAAATTATTCTCAAACCTAATATTCATGCCCGCAAAGTGAAATATTTCTGCCCCATACGTGAAAATGAATAATGCAACTTATGTGACAATTTGGAATATAAGAACATTATGATGAGTGATGAGAGTTTAACGAACTGTACCAGACAATATGGAAAATACGAACATTACGGTTAGTCCTGGGGAATTTTAGGAACACAGAATGCTTTTACCAGACAATGTACCAGACAATATGCAACTTAATTTGCTTAGATTCACCTTCTTGCCCCTTCTGCAGATTTAACTAAATAAACCCAGAATGCTTTTAGACGAGACATTGGTTTTTGACTAGTTTTGTGTTTGGAATTTTCAGATTCTTCTTAACCCCCTTTACTTGCCTGGTTCCCGCATTACGTCATCACATTTCGATACCAAAGTTCGTGCTCTGGCAAGAAAATATCTGTAAAAGAGCCATTTTGTCTCCAGGCAAGTTAGCTCGTCATTCTTCAATATGAGGTGCGGACTTCACCTAGCTTCGTTTCCAGCATGCACATCTTCTCATCCTTTCCTAGTTTCAGGAAATTGTAATGCTTTTTGCTTATAGTCCAAGATTTCTAGGCTGTGTTTCTAATCATATGGCTCCTGATAAAGGGCAACAAAAAAGTTTTCTAGCAAGCGCATGGTGTATTTATTTCACCGATTAATCTTGAAGTAGCAAGTCCATTGAAAATGTTGCTTGCACTGTGAAATCCTAAAATCATTCAAGAGTGTTATTTCTTGTGCAGGAATTTTGTTCCAAATATTGTTTAATTACATTTTGCCTCCAACTTATTATATGATTTATTTGATGATGATGATGTGACAACAAAATCATTTGATGCTTCTACCAAAAAAAAAAAAAAAAAAAACGATACGATGCAGTAAAAAAGTAAAAACTTTCTAAAAAAAAAAAATTGTGAGATGCCGGTTTACATATTTGCCTAAGGATTTCTTTGGAATATCTCTCCATTCCCTGAGAAAGTGTGTTATTTCTCATTTGCCTCCAAGCATCTTAAGCTGATTGCTAAAAGAATTCAAAAGATGAAGAAGCAGCCAAAAAAAAAAAAAAAAAAAAAAAAAAAAAAAATATATATATATATATATATATATATCTTTGATGGAATCGGCCTTTTCTTTTGTGCTGATAACTTGAAAAGTAGTGTCTTGGTGGCAACTTGGTCCCTGGCTGAATCACCAGATTGAGTTCTTTAGGTTCCGTTCAATCCACCTATTTGAGTTTTGTTATAATTAAAAACTTTCAGAAATAATTACATTTATTTTTTTTATTATAATAAAAAGTTCTCACATAAAATCACATATAAACTTGAATTAAAAATTTGAATCAGCGAACTAAACTTATCTTTAGGGAAAAAAAATAAAATTAACATCTTCAGTTGTACTTGTGCTGGTACTCTTCTTTAAAATGCTCCTTGCGGAACTCACATGATGATGCAAAAATAATTACTCTTCAATGTAATTTAGGAAAAGAAATTAATTTCTTTAAAAATTAGTTGAGACATTCCATATGATTTATGCAAAAATTTCTTGAACAATACACCTCTATCGACACAAAGGCAGTTAAAAGGAAAACACTTTATATTCTCAACACAACTACCCTACGCGATTCACATTCCAAACTTTTCTGTAAACCCGGAATGAGACATATTTGTGTTTAATCTATCATATTATGCGACATCATTTAAAACATGTAAAAGTCAGTTAAAAAAGTATTTTGAAATATTTTAAATAATGTATCATAATATAGTTGGTTATATACATTTGTAACACCAAAATGGGACAAATCCAACATATCTTTTTACAGGTAGAGACGCATACAATTTGTTTTATTTTTTGTCCTTTTTCTGGGAAAGGCACTAAGCTAAGACTCCATGGTCAAAAGGTTATGCATTCATGAGTAATGGCCGAAAGTGAGTTTGGAATATTATTTTAGAGAATAGATGCTGCCTTTTAATAAAGTTTTGTGGTGTTGAAAGCTTAATTTGCCTGATCTCCATTGTTCTTTTTCTCTAAAGCCAACACAGATCACCTTCTGTTTTACTCTCACAAGGTGGGTGCTAAAGAAGCTTAATTTTTTGCTTCTAGATCTGCAAAGGTACTTGATATGGATGTTTCTCTTGCTTTCTCCAGTTCAAAAAAGTACAATGTGTTCATTAGTTTTAGAGGAGAAGATACTTGCAATACTTTTACTAGTCATCTTTATACTGCTTTGTGTCAGAAAAAGATTAAAACCTATCTAGACGAAGAGTCTTAAGAAAGGAGATGAAATTTCACCCGCGCTCTTGAAAGCGATCGAAGAATCAAAGCTTTCCATGATAATTTTCTCGCAAAACTATGCTTCCTCCTCATGGTGTTTGGATGAGCTCAATCACGTTCTCAAGTGCAAGGGAAAACATCATAAACAGCTTGTTGTGCCGGTCTTTTATCACGTAGATCCGTCGCATGTGCGTAAACAAAACGGAAGCTATGGAGTTGCTTTTGCGAGACATGAAGAACGTTTAAAGGACAAAATGGATAAGGTTCATCAATGGAGGATTGCTTTAGCAGAAGCAACTAATCTCTCTAGTTGGCATATATCTTATAATTTATGCTTCCTTTAAAAATCAAGTCATTTATGCTAATCTTTTACTAATTTCTTTTGTAAGAGATTTGGTTACCAAAGGTATAATTTTTGTCAAAAGTTGGGGAAACTTATATGTTCTTTTTGTTCTTATGACTACAGTACTCCACAACAAAGAAAGAAATATATTAAAATGAGAATAAAACAAAAGAAAAAGGGCTCAAAAATATCACACGAACTTATTTCTTGGACTAAAAACTAAAATATAACTTATCAACAGTCACAAATGTACCTGCATTTGTTCATATTTTAAAATCCTTTCATAAGTTAAATTGATTAGATTAACCAGACAAAAAAAAAAAAAAAAACACACTCAAAAAATTGAAGGCAATGTCAGATCATAAAAAAACAAGAATAGAAACTTATTTTATGACAGATACAAATATGAATAATATGAGAAACATGCTAATTTGAAACAACATTCGTCTTTGTCTGCTAGAATATTTCGCTTCTAATTACTAACTATTTTGCATTATTCATATAATATTGTCAGGTCGGAATCTAAGCTAATTGAAGCCATTGCCAAAGATATCATAGGAAAACTGAACAATATATCTTCAGACGATAATTCCGAGGACCTAGTTGGTATTGACAAACGAGTTAGCCAAATTGCAACGTTGTTGGATATTGGCTCGTCAAATGTTCGAATTGTTGGCCTTTGGGGCATGGGGGTATCGGCAAAACAACGTTGGCTCGTGTTGTGTTCAATCGGTACTATGATCAATTTGAATGTTGCTACTTCCTTGAAGATGTTAGGGAGGAATCCAAGAAACATGGACTCCCCCATTTACAAATAAAACTTTTTTCAAATTTATTGGAGGAGTCGGATATAAAAATGGTCAACCGATTTGTACAAGAAAGAATCTACCGAACAAAGGTACTCGTTGTTCTTGACGATGTAAATGAGCTAGAGAAATTAGACTATTTAGCTGGAAATCATGATTGGCTTGGCAATGGAAGTAGAATCATTGTAACAACAAGAGATGTGCAATTGCTTAAGAACATTGGAGCTCATGGAAAATATCCCGTGGAGGAATTAAATTTTGATGAAGCAAATAAGCTTTTTTGTTCAAGAGCTTTCCGAGGACAAAGTCCCGCTAGTGGTGCTTATAAGAAGCTATCAGAAAGGGCGGTCAATTACGCTCAAGGCCTTCCACTGGCCCTTAAAATCTTGGGTAGCCACCTATATTCTAAGAGCACAAAAGAATGGGAAAGTGAATTGAACAAATTGAAAATGTTTCCCAACAGCAAAGTTCAGAATGTGTTGAGAGTAAGTTATGACGGGCTCGAACCAAATGAGAAGGATATATTCCTTGACATCGCATGCTTTTTCAAATGTGAAGAAAAGGATTCAGTAGAAAGAATACTAGATGGCTGTAATTTTTTTGTTGATACAGGAGTGATAACCCTTATTGATAGGTCTTTGATAACGATCACACCTAACAAGAAATTTGAGATGCATGATTTGGTGCAACAAATGGCTTAGGATATTGTTTGTCAAGAATTCCCAAAAGACTCGGGAAAGCAAAGTAGGCTGTGGTCCGCTCAGGATTCCTACCATGTCTTGAAATATAGTACAGTAAGTTTCCCCTACAAGTAGACATTTTAGATTGGATATGCAACTTTCATATGTGCTTATAATATTCTATATATTCGTTTCATGTTTACACTTTTAATCTCATTGGAATCTTTGCCATCAAACTTTACGCCGCAAAAACTTGTCGAGTTGGACATGCGCTCTAATAAGCTTAAGGAACTGTCACATGTGGTCCAGGTATTCCTTCAGGTCTAGTGTTTAAATTAGATTATAGTATTTGATATCCATTAAAGTTACATATAAGTGCTTATTCTTTCCTTTTTTATTGTTACAGGATTTTGAAAGCTTAAAGGTTTTAGATCTTAGTTTCTCCAAAAATCTCATTCAAGTCCATGATTTGTCTTATGCTCCAAACCTTGAGAAAATACTTCTCAATAAATGTGAACGCCTTGAAAACTTTGGCAGCAGCCTTTGCAACTTGCAGTCACTACAAACTCTTTCGCTATCTGGTTGTTCATGTCTTGACGATTTTCCAGAACTTCCGTCGAGTATAAAATTCTTGGATCTCAGTGAGACGGCAATCGAACAAGTTCCCTCATCGGTTCAACGTCTCTCTTATCTTGAGATATTTTACTTGCGTTACTGTAGAAGGCTTAAAAGTCTTCCAATCAGCATCTGCGATTTAAGTTTTCTTAAATGGCTTCATCTACGCGGTTGCCCGATGTTAGAATACCTTCCAGAAATAGGGAAGCCTTTGGAATGTTTAGAAGATCTTGAATTATCAGAATCAGGGATTAGGGAGTTACATTCATCTATAGGCAACCTTTCTCACATTTCCTCTTTGTTTCTTCATGAGTGCAAAAATCTCAAGGTTGTTCCGGACGACATCTACAATTTGCACCTTAAAATTCTCAGCTTTTCCGATTGTCCAAGACTCGAAAATTTGCCCCCCTTCTCAATGGTCTTTCTCTCATTGACTGAATTATATGTGAAAAACTGCAACATATTTGAGATACCTGATTTGCTTTCCTTACCATCATTACAAATACTAAAAGTTGAAGGAACCAGAATTGATAGAATACCTGCAAGCATCAAACAATATTCGAAGCTGCATGATGATATAGTTATAGTCAACTGCAAGAGCTTCCATCCTCGATTGAAACTATTTACATAACTGGGTGCACGTCATTAGAGACATTGCCGAATGAATTGTTTCCAAACACACAATTTTCGTTGGAGAACGATGATGAACTAATGATTTATGATTGTTGGAAGTTGGATCAAAATGTACGCAACAACTTGATGACTGAAATGCAAATTAGAATTATGTGCTCCGCAACTATGTCAAAACGCGAAGAAGTAGTAGAGGTATTACAATAGTTGTTTCATCTATTTTAACAGTTGGAATGAGTTTAGTTAACTTTTTCATACTTGAAATAATCAATCATCACCTTGTCATTGCTGCAGGAAGGATCATACGGCCGTGCTGTTAAATTATGTTGTCCTGGAAGTGAGATTCCAAAATGGTTCAACTATCAAGAAGAGGGATCCTCAATAAATATCAAGCTTCCTTGACAATGGTATAATGACACCTTCCTGGGCTTTGCTATTTGTGCTGTTTCTGCATTCGAGGGCAATTGTTCTGAATGTTGTCATCCTCCAAACTTCCTGTGTAAATTTCATTTAAAAGGAAAGAATGATGAAAGCTTCATCAGTCGATTGGCGATTGTTAGTTTTCTAACTACTCAGCAAGATAACACAATTTTCAGCAACTTGGATCACATGCACATATTCTATTCGTACAAGGACTATAACGATGATCTCAATGCAGAAGAGGCATCATTTCCTTTCAAGTGATTGGAAGAAACTTGGAAAATGTTTGGATTGTGGCAGTTGCAAAGTGAAAAGGTGCGGAGTTCGCATGTTATATATGAAAGATGCAGAGGAAATGGGCATTGTTGCTAACAATGAGCAATACGTAGCTTGTGAATCAAATGCTACTATGGTGGAGCCTGCTGAGCCTAGTGGAGTTGAAATTGATCTCAACATCAAGAACAATTGGGAAAGTTGCAGTTTCGATTTAAGTTTGAATAGTTATGAGAGCTCTTTCGTCGGCCAAGAAGTCGACACATCTCTCAGTTCAAACCATTTCAAAGAGGAACATGCTAGTGCAGACAATCCAGGACCAATTACAGTCACAGATTTTTTCGACTCTGAAACAGATGAGCCGCATCTCAAGAGGGCTAAGTTTTTCGATTACCTTTTGACTCTCTCACCAAGATGAAAGGTATGCTACAGCCTACAAGACTCTATGATTCATCTATCCATACACATCTTGACAAAGAAATTCTCTTTTGACTCTCTCACCAAGATGAAAGGTATGCTACAGCCTACAAGACTCTCTATGATTCATCTATCCATACACATCTTGACAAAGAAATTCTTGGTAATACAATTATTCGTGTGAATATCTTAGTTGTTTTCTCCTTTGAATTATTTAGTTGTACGTCTCCAGGTTAAATTGAAAACCGATTGGAATATAGAACTAGGAGCTCTCCTACACTTTTCGCTTCTATGACGTATCCATCAAACTTCCATTTTAGCCATGGTATATGTTCTTTTCCTCCTTTCGACATAACTTTTCGCAACTATTTCGTTTGACAGGATTCAGGCCTAATATTGATAGAAATCCATAGTTGTTTGTGCTTTGTTAAAATTTCAAGCTTCATTATTTAGTTTGTTTACCTTTCTAATTCTTCAAACTCCTCCTTTTAATCAAGGGATGAAATGTATTCATATATCAATAATCAAAATTTAAATTTGGTGTCTCTACACTAGTTTTGTTTTATGACAACTCCTCTTTCATGCTTAAAAAAAAAAAAAAAAGGTCCTCTTTCATGAGAAGGTATTAGAATTCAATCTCAAGTTTGTTTCTTCTTTTCTGTTGCTAGCTTTGGTTTACATTAATGATATGCTTTTATCTCTGTTTTTCTATATCATTATAACTCAAGTAAATAATTTCTATCTTGATTCAGTTAATAAGATATTACGCGCGCGCGCATGCATGTTTGTCCCTATGTATGTATATCTTGATTCATCTAGACCTTGTATAAAGAAGCAACAACTAAAATATTTGGTGACTCCCTTAAATCTTATTATTCTCCTAGGGCTTTTAATGTTCACTGATTATTAGATGGTTTGTATATGTTAAAATACAATTGATTTGAAAGAGTAAAATATAAAAACTATTATCGTCCAACCTTCTAACAACTTAAGCTTTTTGGTTGGGCCCACCGGCTACGCGCGCGCGCATGCATGTTTGTCCCTATGTATGTATATCTTGATTCATCTAGACCTTGTATAAAGAAGCAACAACTAAAATATTTGGTGACTCCCTTAAATCTTATTATTCTCCTAGGGCTTTTAATGTTCACTGATTATTAGATGGTTTGTATATGTTAAAATACAATTGATTTGAAAGGGTAAAATATAAAAACTATTATCGTTCAACCTTCTAACAACTTAAGCTTTTTAGTTGGGCCCACCGGCCTAGAAGAAGCATCAAGAATCATGCTACTCCACAAACAACAAATTTTTAAGACGGGTGCCTTAATTAAAAAAAAAAAAGAAAAAAAAGAAAATGGGGTGTGAATATAATTTCCTTCAAAGAATTCAGCTAAACAGGAAGCTGCTTAACTCAGAGGTTACACAATCAAAACGAGTACTGTTTTCAGCTTAATTATTACAAAATTGATATGGATATAGAAAGAAAGAAATACACCATATTGATCAACTCCTTAATTTCCTTCCTCCCATAAAGTTCCCAACTACCAAACACGCCCTTAATCATTATGTGGGAGAAGAGGGAAGTTCAACAGTACAATGTTTTTTGAAGCAAATACAATAACTGTGACCGAAACCCCTACACATTCCTCCCCAGGAATCTTCATTTATAAAACACTTGTACGCACATTCAGAATGCGATATGCATCGTCCATGCCATGTTCTGCTTTTAATTGCACAAGGCCTTAATGGTTCGCCTACATTATTAATTAATATTCTGGGGAAAAAAAACCATCATGCACATTTAAACTTCAGTTCTAGTTTGAATTTAAACATGCTCAACGAGGAGATAACATGAAGATATTGTGCAGATTCTTCAAGGAGATATTGTGAGTTGATTCAGGAGAGAGAATCGTAGAAAAAAAAAAGGAGAAGCTTATCTGAGTAAATTTAAAGATAATTCTCAAGAGGCCTAAGAAGCTTTATTTAAAAGGTCTTGTTTCAGCTCATTAAAGATGTGGGGTTTAATAGAATATTTTCAGAAAAGAGTCTGTGAGTTTTTGTGAGCCTAGTACATTATTGAGATCGTCCTTCAAGAGAGGGATTCGTTGCTTTCGGGAGGAAGCTCTGCCGGTCGAAGGGAGTTCGTCAGGTGAATGAAAGACGTGTGGTGCACGCTAAACAATCACTGTGGAGATTTGTCACAACGGTGTCATTGTCTAGGAGAGAGTTCTTGAGTGAATAAGTCCGTCCAGTGTCTATAATTTCTGGAACATAGTGAACTGTTTATTATCTGGACGTGGCCCTGTAGATGTAGGTGTGCACACCGAACTGCGATATCATAATGTGTGTTCCTTTACTTTCTGCACTTTATTCTGGTCGAGTAATTGAACGTAATTAACTCATATCTTAATTAATTAAGCTGTATTCCTAAACAAAGCACTGTGGAGATTCGTCATAGCGGCGTCGTTGTCTAGGAGGGAGTCCTTGAGTGAATAAGTCCGTCCAGTGTTTGTAATTTATGGAACATAGTGAACTGTTTATTGTTTGGGCGTGGCCCCGCAGAGTAGGTGTGCGCACCGAACTACGATATCATATTGTGTGCTCTTTTGATTTCTGCACTTTATTCTACTCGAACAATTTAAACAATAAGAAATCCAGATCTTAATTAATTAAGTCATCTTCCAGCCAATGTTCCAACATCATCTGGAACATCGGACGTAACATCAGATCTAACAAGTGGTATCAGAGAGGTTCACTGACCATAAGTTCGGTGAGATCTTGGAGAGTTGATCTGTTATGTTTGGAATGGATTTTCTAAAGGAAGGAGGTTCAGTTGTACGTCCCCCTCTACTTAATGGTTCGAATTATTCATACTGGAAGGCCCAGATGAAGGCTTTCATCAAGGCTCAAGATGAGAAGGCCTAGCGTGCTGTTTTGAATGGCTGGAAACATCCAGTAACTAAAGATGCAGAAGGAAAAGTGACTCAAACCCAAAGAGTCCTGGAGTACTGATGAAGACAGGTTGGCCATCTACAACTCTCGTGCTCTCAATGCAATATTCGATGGAGTTGACATCAACCAGTTCAAGATGATATCTACATGTGAATCGGCAAAAGAAGCATGGGAGATTTTGGAGATTGCTCATGAGGGAATTGTCGCCGTCAGACAATTCAAATTGAATATTCTCACAACCAGGTTTGAAAATCTTCGAATGCATGAAACTGAAACTATTTCTAAATTCAATTCACAGTGTGATATAACTAATGAATCCTTTACTCTTGGTGCAAAAATTCCTGAGGCAAAACTTGTCAGCAAGACGTTGAGATCGTTATCACAGAGATTTGCCTTCAACGTCACTACAATTGAAGAGGCGAAAAACACTGAGACTATAAGACTTGATGAATTGATGGGATCACTGAGGACATTTGAAATGAATCTGAGTCAAAATAAGAAGGAGAAGGGGATTTCTCAGGGGATTGTTTTCCAAGCAGAAGTGGAAGATAATGTTGAAGAAGAAAATGAAGACTTAGCGGAGTCTCTTGCTCAATTGACTAAAAATTTCAACAAGGTGATGAAGAAATTCAACGAGAAGAACTAAACTCCAACTTTCAACAACTCCAACAATTCTTAGAAAAATAAGGGAGCTACAAATTCCTCCAATGATAAGAAGAAGAATAGGGAAATTCAATGCCGGGAGTGCGACGGTTACGGTCACATTCAGTCTGAGTGTGCTAATACTCTCAAGAAGAGGAAGAAGTCTCTCAACGTCACATGGAGTGATGAGGATTCTAAAGGCAACCAAGAAGATGATGGTCATGTGAACAACTATGTTACGCTCAATGTTCCAAACTGCAGTGTTATAGATCGTGTCACAGCTCATGTTGCAACATCATCTGCAACACACTTTGGAAAACTAGAAGAAAACATAGATTTTTTAGATTCTGATGGTTCCAACGATGGTGAAGAACTAACTGAGGAGACAATCTAGGAGGCATATGAAACCATGTTCAACAAATGGGTTTTAGTTGTTAAAATGAATAAGTCTTTGTGGGAGCGAGTCGATGAGCTTATTAAAGAGAATGATGTGCTTAAGAGGGCTGCTGTAAACTATGAATTTCGGGCTGTTGAAAAAGAGAAAAAGCTACAGGAGACAAGAGCTGAATTGGAGCACACTCGAAAGTCATTGAAGATGATGAATTTCGGCACCACAGAATTGGATCACATTCTCTCGATAGGAAAAGCAAGTGGTGATCGACATGGCCTTGGCTATACTGGTGAGAGCTCAACGTCCAAGATAGTGTTTGTGAAAGAGATGACTACCTCTAAGCCTCCGACTTCCTCCAGTAAGAAGGTTACTATCTCATCCCCTCGACATAGAAGGTTTGTCCCACATGCCATTAATGCGGTTTACCTGGCCACATAAGACCGAGATGCTATAAGTATTTTAATGCTTTGAAAAGAGGTATGTTTATTAATCCACCGAATTCTACAAACTCAAAGAAGACACCTAACGTGAAGATTGATGTGAAAAATAATTTTTCTAGATGTGTGCGGGTAAGGAAATCTGATTTGAGGTGTCATACAGCTTATACTTTTTTAGAAGCATGCACTAATGATTGTGGGTGTAGTGATGCTGGTTGCACTAAGCGATTGACAGGTGTTAAGAGCATTATACATAGGAGAATGCTACATTCAGGAGGAGTAAGACACAGAGAAGATTCAAGGGGGAGAACAATGTAATTTTATATTTTTTTTGGTCGTTTTTGAATTTTTTAGGATCTCTTGTTAGTTTTACTAAAAAAATGCCAAAGGGGGAGATTGTTTGGTATTTTTATTAGTTAGCAATTTATTGACAATCTTGTAAAAATTCAAAAAATAGGTTCAAGAAGATTTCAGATTGCAGAAGAAGATTCATAATCAGATTTGAAGTTAAAATTGTAGATTTTGTTGAGTTGTGATCTATGGGGATAAGGATTAAAAAGGGTGAGTTCAATTTTGTATGGGAGATAGCCTACAAGAAGATATTTGCTTGCAACCCAAGGCAGATTCAGATTTGAATTGAAAGGCATATTCAGATTTGATTTATAGTGGCATAATCCAATTGCTATTTTCTAAGTCTTTGCATCTTTGAAAAACTACTGGGCCTTAAGATGATCTCTGGGACTCGAGAAAGGAGGCGAGAATGGGTTGGTGACAAATTAATTTTCGAGTTGGGTTCGGCCGAACATTAACTTCACTTAACTTCATCACTCGAGTTGTCTTTTTTTGAGTTTTTAAGGGCTACTGAACAGGTCCTAAGTACATAACTTCAGACTTATAATGACATAATCTCTTCTAATACAATAAAAAATGAAAAATCAAGAAAATAAAATATATATTTAGTTGGAAAAAATGAGATAACAAATACTCGACCTTCAAGTAATTTTATTTCTCACTGTGCATTTTAAGTTCATTTTCGATTCATTTGGTACCTTAGAAAACGCACCAAAATGATTTTGTTGATGTTTCTGCAGATTTCTTCTGACGTTTGGCTTCTTTCACTACGCACAAAGCTAAAATAATACAAATTAGATGAGGGGATTTTTTAAAAAATTTTAAAGGGTTGTATTGAAATTTAAAGTAAAACAAAGGATATTAATGGATTTCTTGTAGCCCTCTCAACTACTTTTTTTTTTT